CACCTCATTGTGCTCACCTGTCTGCCCCTCGTTATCTGCCCTATATCTGTTCCTGTCTCTGGTATTCGAGTTTGTCGGTTATTGTGAAATGTGAATGTTACCCTGTGTGTTGATGGCTACCATGTCTGGATTTCCTGTTGTCATATCATTAAATATCCTTTTACTCGTCATCTTCGTCGTCCTGCCTGATCTCTGGAACACCCTGCCCGTGACAGTTAGCAGCTTTGAAAGTCAGTGGGGTTTTTTTTGTTTGTTTTTCTTCTTTTTTTCAGACAGTTTATCAGTGATCACTCTTGGGGCTAGATGAAGTGATTTCCCAGCATTTTTTGAGCACTGACCAGTTCCAAATGTGATGTCCACCTCTGGCAACGAGCAACTTGGGAGTGGTGTCTGGTATATGCTACGCAGCTGAGGAATAGAAGTACTAAAGATTCTACGCTCAAAAGACCACCGCAAAGACGGTGATAGTGTTGGAAGACTACAGAGCCTGTGTGCTCATGTGTGATTGAGGTAGTGATAGTAGCTTCTTGACAGGACACCATCACCACACTTCAGGGAAGTATTGGATTGTATTGTAAGTATTTTGGGAATTCGGGGAATTAGCTCGACATACTGTAGTTATATGAACTGGTAGTTGTTTGAATTGTCTGTTGAAGTCAGATTAGTATTGGTAATTTCCACGACACACTGTACACACGGTGTATGAAAAGAAGCAGCCTACCTATAAAGCCACAGAAGAGCTGTTGTGTGTCTCCTAATAAAACACAAAAGGTGTTGGACTTGAAGCAGCACTGCACAGACTGTTCTGTGTGTGACATCAAAGAACAGCGAGAGCGATTAGATGGCATTTTTTAATTTTTTGTTTTGATGTCAAATAAGTCTTGCTGTTTTTATTTTTTGTTAAAGCAGTGCTGCTGTTGTAAAGTTATACAGCTAAATTAGCTCGACATACTGTAGTTATATGAACTGGTAGTTGTTTGAATTGTCTGTTGAAGTCAGATTAGTATTGGTAATTTCCACGACACACTGTACACACGGTGTATGAAAAGAAGCAGCCTTTCTATTGCTGTGAGAAATGTATTTTGATAATTTTTCCAAATTTGCTTAAATTAAACTGTACAATGGTTGTCAGGCCATAGGAATCATTAGAAACTGGGTTGTTGTGAAATCTAACTTACATAAGGAGGGGGATCACATTTACATCTAAATGATCATTCATTTAAACTAAACTGATTCAGTCAGTGTGCTTGTCATTGCGTTTTTAACTTGTACCACGCCTGACATCTTAACAAAAGGCAAGTAGTACACGCCAATATTTTTGTTTCATAAAAGGCATTCTTGCAAAAGAGTTCAGCATGCTGTGTGTGTGATAGAAAACATAGGCTTAGTGCTGAAATTGTACTTGCACTTGATTATGGCTCTTTCATTCTCTCACATGTCATCCTGTCCCTCAGGCTGCAGCTGTCTGGAATTCAACAAACAACAGCGGCGCTCCCAGTAGTTGGTACGGACGGGACTAGATTGCAAGCGGCACATCTGTTTCTCACTAGGGCGAGACCGAGTCTCTGTCCAATAGAACCAGATGCAGCTACCAGAAACTCCCACCTCCCCCAAAAAAAGACCAAAAGCTTTATTTCCCAACCCTTTAACTATTGGTCACAAAGAGGAGATGATTGTAAATGGCAGCCAATCAGAGGTAGCTGTGTGTCTACCGCCTCTAAGGGAATGACAACCTTTAATCCCGTTTGAGCAGAGGGTGGATGGTTTGTGTTGGAAAGAGGTTTCAGACCTGTAAAACTGAGTCACGCAGACTTTCGCAGCATGAGGGACAGTGGGTCAGATTTCACTGAGCATTTCTGTAGTTATTACAGCTGGCCTTGCCCCACATTAACTGCCATTCATTTAGTCAACATATGACTGATGATCTACATTCCAGATTTATAGCAGCATATGCATTAAAGATACAGTGCAGGATAAACAAATTGTAAGGTTAAAAGGCTGTTTTAAATGAAATGTAAAAAAGAAAAAAGACTGCAACAGTGTGCTGGCTTTTCACTTTTTTTCTGGTTGTGCACCTGTTTTTGTTATTTTTCGTGTACACCACTCCTTAGAGGATAGAGGTATCTGCTACTTTAAAAAAAAATGAGGAAAGTTTGAGGAAATGTTCATAACATATCATATTCTAAATATGAATGATATAATATATCATTCATATATTATATCATTCATATAATATCACCCCAACCCATCATAATGAAGGGTTACTTGCTAGTTAGTTACAGGAAATTTTAGGGGCGGGACATTCTCACGCTAGCAAGCATTTGATTGGACAAAATCCTGTTCAGCGCAAGATGATTCATCAATGTTTTTGGTCCATAATCCATAATGTCCATAATGAATTTAGTTAACTTTTAGTAGTATGTTAGCATATATGGACCCGAAGCTAAAAGCCCTTGACTAAAAGCATCAAAACTTAATTCTGATTTAATAAAATCTTTAGACCATATGTTCTGCAAGAGCTATACAAAAGACCATTCTGTTATTGTCTATCAATGTCTGGAACAAATAGCCATTTTAAGAATAAATGCAAATGATTTACAGTAAGGTGCTCGCTGAATGTTAATAAGCATATGCATACTGTGTACTGTGCATCTCAATACGGTATAATCATACACTCATTCTCCTGCTTCTGTGCCCCTGAAACATTCATGAAACATTATGTTTGGACTTTCTGTAGCTCTGGGCATCGTAGTCCACTGTCCTGCAGAGTTTAGCTCCAACCGAATCAAACGGAGCAGCCTGTAATTTTCAAGTAATCCCGAAGACTTTGGTTACATTTTTCAGGTGCATTTGATTAGGGTTGGAACTAAAGGACACTGCAGGACAGTGGACTTTTAAGTTGCTCGCCTCTGACGTAAGTTCATGTACTTTGTAACTACATGGATACTATGTACGTATACTTGCTTTTGCAGTATTGTAATCTTTTACATACCAATAAAACTTTGCTGAGAGAAAGACAAAGACAAACAAAAAGACAAAGAATTGCAGAGTGAAAGAGATTGCATCAGGAAAAATAGGGGAAAGTAAGCAGTAGGATGCCAAAGAATGATTTGTACAGTATTAGGTGAAGGCCACCTTTGTCATGCATGTCTTTCCCAGAAACCTAAAACCGATAGACCTGACAACAGGTGCCAAGACTAAAACAGAGGGCATATTCTTTCCTAGATCAAGAAATCCCCCAACAGACTATGCTGAAAAAACATCTTGGCTGCATTATTATAACATGAGATTCCTGGAAAACAGTTAACAGTACAGAAAACAGTACAGTTTTTATGACAGCAATGAGAGAAGGATGTTGTGATTGAGCTCTTTCACAATTTAATTACTGTGACGAGTGGGGCGGGGCCGAGAGCCGTGGGAATGGAGCGAGGCCGGTGGAGTAAATGCTAATGCACGACACCTGCGCCACTCACCGGTCTCGAGTCCCACGGAGGAGCTCCGGAAGCATAAAAGGAGGAGTGACGACAGTGTTGGACGAGAGAGGACCAGGCCTGGATTTTATTTTGTGTTTTGTGTGCGGCAGTCGTCCGCGAGGGGCTGCCGCTTTACTTTCATTTTGTGTTTGTTTATTTTATTATTAAAGTTTGGTTTAAGTGTTCGCCGGTTCCCGCCTCCTTCTTCCCGACCTACAAACGTTGTTACATTGGTGCCGAAACCCGGGAGGAAGGAGGGACACGCTGCCAGAGATCCCTCGCCGCTGTGGTGAATCCGCGGTGCCATCGAGCATGGCGGAGCAGTCTGCCGCCATGGAGGCTCGAGGCGGTGGACTGGAGTGAATTGCCGGGGGGGCGGACGAACTCGCTGCCGTCCGCCTATGCTGTGGAGGGACGGCTGCCGTCCGTGAGGGAGCGGAGGAGTCGCCGCCGTTCGCCCGAGGCTGGAGCCTGCTGCCATCCACCATAATGGGGAGGAGCAGGGAACGGGGGACTCCTGCCGGCTGCCCGAACCCGGAGGAGCCGTCGCCGTCCACCGGGCGGCGGAGGAGTGTCGGGCCGTCCACCGAAGGCTATCCAGTGCCGCCGCCAGGCATCGTCTGCCAGGAGGCGGAGGAGCGGTGGGCCGTCCACCAACGATGTCCAGTACCATCGCATGGCACCGCGAGTGAGAGCCTCTCAGCCGGTTGAGGACCAAGCGGCAGTGTGTCCGGGAACCAGACCGATAAATTTTTTTTCTTTTCCTCTCTCCCCTCTCTCGTATCTGTCTCTCCTCATCCTTCCGTCTCCTTTTCTCTCGCCTCGTCTGTCTGTCCTTACCCCCAGGTACGCCGCGGCCGCCGTGATCAGCTCCCCCGGAGGGGGGAGGGGGAGTAGAGCGCAGTCTTGTGGGTACCCCCCGCCTGTGATGGGGGTATGTGACGAGTGGGGGCGGGGCCGGTGGAGTAAATGCTAATGCACGACACCTGCGCCACTCACCGGTCTCGAGTCCCACGGAGGAGCTCCGGAAGCATAAAAGGAGGAGTGACGACAGTGTTGGACGAGAGAGGACCAGGCCTGGATTTTATTTTGTGTTTTGTGTGCGGCAGTCGTCCGCGAGGGGCTGCCGCTTTACTTTCATTTTGTGTTTGTTTATTTTATTATTAAAGTTTGGTTTAAGTGTTCGCCGGTTCCCGCCTCCTTCTTCCCGTGACTACAAACGTTGTTACAATTACCATGGACACATTTAATAGAGTCTGTTGACTTATTGTTCTTGCAGTACTTGTTCCTGCAGTCTCTAACTGTGTGTGTGTATACCTGGTATTTACCACGTTAAGGGGACCAAATGTCCCCACAAGGATAGTAATACCAGTAAATTTTGACCTTGTGGGGACATTTTTGAGGTCCCCATGAGGAAACAAGCTTATAAATCATACAGAATTAGTTGTTTTTATTGAGAAAGTAAAAATGCACAAAGTTACCTGTAGGGTTAGGTGTATGGTTGGTGTAGGGCTATAGCACATACAGTTTGTACAGTATAAAAACCATTACGCCTATGGAATGTCCCCATAAAACATGGAAACACAACGTGTGTGTGTGTGTATGTTGTCCTTGTGACTGCCAGTACCTTGCATCTGAGCAAAGGCCTTCTGTATGTAGCTTAGGGGCAAATTTATAGTGATTTGAAATTGTGTGACAGTTATAATTTGTATAAAACTGGATTAAATCCTTGTCACACAATATTGAAATGGTTTATTTCATGCTTTGTTTAGATTATCACGGGTTTAAAATGTAATTATTATTTTTATAATGCATTTTCATGGTTTATGATTGAAGGTCTGGCTCTGAGACAAGGAGCATAAAAGAAAAATCAAATAACCAAAATAACTTTTGTAAGCTTTAAATAAGTGATGAATGTGGTTTAAAAACAAAATATAACACAAGATTTTCTGGTGAGAATGTGTGTTAAATGTTAGATCTGGAAGAAAATAATCCAGCTTCAGCTGTTGTTTTGCAACTGTGTGGCAACAGATGTTTGAAATCTAATATAATTTCCATGTGTGTTAGTTCATGGAAGGTGCTGTAGTTTACTTAGATACAGCCAACAATTTAAAGAGTGAGGTAAAGACTTGACAAACAGAGATCTTCTCTGTTCCTATGACAATCAGTGCTGACTCTAGCCTGCGATCTTATCAAGGTCATGACCTCAGAGTTTACTACTACTCCCAGCACCACTCACATGACCATCTGAAATTAGGATTGCTAAATGTCTGTAGCCATAACTAAATGAGTAACAAAGAATGGACTTTATCCACTAATGAGTGATGACAGTCTACTTCACAAACACTGACCTAGTTAAGTTTCCAAAAAAAACAGAGGATACAGAGTGACAGAGTAACAGGCACTGGACGTTTTTCTGCTAATTTGTTGTTGAATTAGCTAATCAAAGCTTTTCTTTTGAATTGCAACCCACTTTTAAAAGTGTCTTTGGTATGAACCTCAAGCACGCAAAGATACAGAAAGATATTCACTAGAAAAATTAAACCGCCTGTTTCCATTAAGAAGAAATAGCCTTATGTATATGATTCAAGAGGTTCAGTGCACATGCACTATTAGAACTTTTGTCAAGTAACCTAAAATGTGCTTTACATAGTAAAATGGTTCTATTCAAAACTACATTACACTGTTACACCAAAAGTAATTTGTAAAGGTAAAATCACACCAAAAAAAAAAAAGCTTTTAAATTTCACAGTAGTTCAGTAGCTCATCAGTACACCTAGGTGTTTTCACTTTAGAGCGGGGTGATATTCACATAAACACACTGCATAATTGTTATCCTGATATGCTACGCGTCCAAACTGTGCGCATGAGAACTGCGGGATGTTTGCTGAATTTACAGCCTGCCATAACATAAACCTTCGCGCAATGCATTACTTTTTTGCTAAGATTTAATGAATACTGCTTGTACCTCTTTTAGCTCCTTCTCGATCTGAACCGCACGCTGAACGATTGGTCCGCGGACCGCGTAGTCAACCTTCTTCACGTTGGCGTTCATGGTGTCAAGGGTGAGCACTTTCCCCCGAAGGGGTAACGCTCCGTTTTCGGACATCTTCTGTTGTAGATGTTCGCTTTGGGCCGCCGGGAATGCAGAAAGATTCCTATGGGGAGAAGAAAGGGAAGGCAGTGGAGAAAAGTTCAGGACCCAGTCTGGAACCTTGGGGTACACTGCCGCGTAAGCCTCACATCTTCCCCATTTCAAAACACTCACGGTTCTATTAGATAACATTTTCATTAACAGTTAAAAGCGCAACAGGTTTACTTAACGGTTAAGAGGTAGAGCTTAAAATTGGGTTCTTAAACTTTGGTTATCAGCGCACGTTTGCTGTTACGCGCGTAGTAAACCCTACAAAGATCTATTCGAGAAGACCTTTGGACTGTGCATCATAGTTCAAGATTTCATAAGAAGCACGAGCAACTGCTGACCCCCACTAAATCCCCACGCCTCCTTTTCTCTACCGGGCTCAAAAACAGTACATTTAGTGTTTCTTTTCCATGACTGCCACTTTTTAAATGGGGAGTTTTATAGCCAGTACCTTCTCCCGAAAGTGGGCTATATTACGCACCAGAAGTGTAGAAAGGGAAGCCTCCTCGGTTACCGAGACGACAGACAGCAACGATCGACCCGTGTGAAGCGTCTGAAGCGGCTCCAAACTTTGACCGGTGTAAAACTTCCCTTCACAGTGAACTTCCTCTCATTGATCCAATAACTGAGAATAAAGCACGCCAGCTCCTCCCATGATGACTAACTAAGGCTCTGTGTGTCTTGCAGAAGAGATTAACAAACAGTGTGATCACATTACAGGGTTCTGTGTTCTTTGAAAGAATTGTTCCACAAAGGTACTGGCAAACTTCAGGAAATAGTAGACCAGTTGGAGAAAATGGCAAAATGACTTTAAAAATTGATGCTAAATCTAAGTTGTCATGATCAGGGACCATGATGTTCCAGACAGCATGCTCTTTATTATTCAACCACTTTGGTCTTATTGGAATATGCCAGAGGGGCTGGTTGGTTGTTAAAGAGGAGATATTACAGGATATATTATTAAAATGTTCTTCACACTAAAAGAAAAAAATGGTTCTTTTAAGAAAACGGTTCTTTCACATAAAGTTTCTTTAAGGGAACCCAGAATAGTTCTTCTAAGGCACTGCAGTGAAAACCCACCTTTCCACCTTTTTCACTTTAGACAGTGTAAGGTTTACAGAACCTCAGACACTTTGATCTTCTGAGATGGACAATAAACACACCGTGCTTTAACATACAGACATCTGTTTCTACATCTAACAGAGAGAAGATGCGGAAAAAGTCCCTTCTCCCATTCCTCTCCACCCACTTCCTCTCACCCATCTCAGCCACTCAGAGTGCTAATAAAGATTAATAACGACAGATGAAGCATTTATGAAGCAGATAAAATATTACTAGCACATATTTTACGTTAGAGACACAAGCCAATGCCTGCTGCTGCTATTCTGTGATATAATATCTGATATAATACTCAAACTAGTTTTTCAGTGAGACGAGGGATAGGCTGTTGATGGTTACGTTCCTACAGTCAGGGGCCCCATAGACTTCCATTGTGAGCGCCTTTCTATCAACACATTGTCTTTGCAAACTGAGGCATGTCACAGATCTCAACTGGTATTTATCCCGGATTATCCCTTTAAAGCAAAGATAATGAGACTGGGTGTGGATGAACAGCTTGATATAAAACATGCCATATTTATTTGTATTCTTTTTAGCCTTTTATACAGCTTATTGGCTGTACTTCAAGAATATTTCGGCTTTGTGCCGATCAGACTGCGTTGACCTTTGACTTGAAGGAGTGACTCGGGGAAACTGTTTTCCACCAATTGAAGACATGATAAGTTGAATTTGTTAATGGATAATTATATATGAACAAAACAACAAGGACTAGCACTTTAGTTGCCTGCAAATTTCATATCCCGTAAAAAAAAAAAAACACACCTCTTCAGACATTCATATACTACTGATAAATAAGTCTTCATAAGAAAATGTTTTACAGAAACCCAGGATTGGACTTCTTTCCTAAGTGCATCCAATAAAAACAGCCATGTTTCCTTTTTATACATCATGCGCATTCAATTTATTTTGTCATTATCTTGTTTTGTTTTTTTGTTAGTTTCTCAATTGTTGCGTGCAATTGCAGGTTAACTATTGTGCTGGCTGTACAGTACAATGCTATTTATATTTAAAATGAGGTGTAAATATGTAATTAAAATGTTCATTGCATCAATACTCACACCCAATATCCTGTCTTTATTTAACCTGCAAGTGTTTATTTCTTATTTTACATCACCCACTCTTGTTAAAAAAATACAGGACTCTGTTCTTGGAACATAATACGATTGGGCAGCAGGGGGCGTGGTCACACAGATTTCTGCTGATTTTTACAAATAAAATTTTCACAAAAAAAAAAAAAGAAGAAAAAGAAAAAGAAAAATCACACTGTGAAAACATGAATGTGGTTCAGAAATAATAACAGCAGAATGCTAGAATGCAGAATGATTTTATTTCCTTGTTGGTGCTGAAACATAAAAATATAACTGAAACATAAGGAAACAAAAAATCTAAAGATGCATATGTATTTATTCACACCACAAATTCAAACATATTATAAAACTAATTTGTTCACCAGTGTCATTAAGTGAATATTAACATACACAGCTTTCGAAAATGATGTTATGTTGGTCCTCAATGCCAAACATTTTCCATTCAATGTTTCATAACAACAACAAAACAAAGGATGTGGTATCACAGTGTGAATGCTACACATATACAGTTATACAGTAGTCATTAAGTGCTTTTGAGTCTATATTTTGATTCACTTTCTAGAATTACATTTGTTTATATACTGTGTTTTTTTATCCAGCTCCTAAGAAAGTACGTAAACAGTGACAGTCAAGAAATATTAGTAACACTTTACAATAAGGTTCAATTTGTTAACATAGTTAATGCATTAGGTATCACAAACTAACAATGAATAATACTTATGCATACAGCATGTGTTATTATAGGTTTATGTTAATTTATAAATATGCTGTTGTTCAATGTTTAATTCATACTATAAACTTCTTTAAAAATAAAACTGTATTAGTAGATGCAGAAATAACATTACAGCAACTAATATTAATAAATGGTGTACATAGTTCATTGCTAGTTCAAATTGAACCTTATTGTAAAGTGTTAACAAAAAGTCTTCTTTTGATTAATATACAACAAGGCACGAGCCTGATGATCACAGCCAGAAATTGCCAGGGACCAGTTAAAGGGATAGTTCACCCGAAATGAAAGTTCTGTCATCATTTACTCACCCTCATGTCATTCCAAATCTGCATGCCAACACAAAAGAAGATATTTGGAAACATGTCTTGCCATTTTTTTCTCAATGTGATTCACTGTTGTTTCGAAAAATTACTGTCATTGTATGGACCATTTTTGGAAGATTTGTTTTTTTGCAGAAAACACAAACTCAAACAGCTCATACAAGGACATGAGGGTAAGAAAATTATGACAGTTTTAATTTGATGTGAACTATCCTCTACTATTAATGCTTGAGCTGTTCATTTTTGCAAATCCAGTAAGTCTGCTACCTGGTTAAGTAACCCATACATGTTCAAACCAATGCCCTAAAAACCAGTTGCAGCAGTTATCGCTGAGAGAGTCTGTGTAGCCACAGTACGCAAGGCAAACGTAGGCACAGAGAGATCCATGAGGAGGAAGAGCTGGTGTTGGGAACTCTGCAGGCCATAACACTTACACTCATCTGTGACAAGGTAACACTGCACAGGGACATGGGTAAAACCCTGAAAGAAATCCTCTGAGGTAGTTGAGGCTGACGAAACTGATGTCTCCTGAGAGGTAAAATATCGAGTCACGGCAAACGTATAAAAAAGGCGGAGGAGCTCCAAGCGCCTGCCTGACGAGAGGAGAGGCGTAGCCTCCAAAGGAGCGCCACTGCGAACACGAGGGCAGACGGTGACAGCACGTCGAGATTCACGGTTGATGAGGAGAAGCGCCTGGATGTCCCAGCGAAGGCTAACAGACGGGGGAAGAGTAGAATGTTTGGCCTGCTCCAAACAGCTGCGCAGGTTCTCCACAAAAGTGGACCAAAAACGACCGATGAGCTCATTCTCTGCCTTGTATAAAGAGGGTTTGGGGCCACAGAGGACACACACGTGAACCCCAGGAAGTAGTTGGAAACTGAGCAAGCGAATGGCGACGGTAGGACTTCCTTGGGGAAGGAAGACGGGGTAGTCACATGAAGATGCACCGGAGAGCGAGTGCACCAAGACTGAGAGCACAACAACTTCCTGGGACGTCAGTCGAGACCACCACTTCTCCGTGGCCTGTGCCACACGGCCGTGCACCAGCAGGCAGCCAAATTCACTCTCCGCTGCTTGGGCGAAGGAGTCTAGGGCTTCCTGAAGCAAGCCTGAGTGGGAGAGAAGCAAACAGTCGGCACACTGCGTCAGATCTCCCATAAATCCCTGATCGTCACTGACGCGCTCCAGGAGCATGTCGATCAGGCGGTAGCAAGAGCGCAACTCCCGTTTTAGCCGCTCCACGTTGCGTATGTTTGCCAGCTCGTCCTGTCCCAGGACCAGGACCATGCAGTTCCACACGTTCTCCAGCAGGCGGCGCAGCTGCAGCTCACTGATGGCGGAGCCCCCGCCGCCACTCACCGCAATCAGCATCAGGCTCTCCTGAAAGACCCCCCAAACCACACGGCTCCCTCGATCCGTCTCACAGCTCGCTAACTGAGCCCCGTGGCCGGCGCCAAACATATGGACACCATTTAGGGAGCCGATGATGGAAAAGGGAAGCTGCTTTACAGAGCCTCGTGAAAACAGAGGGACCCCACTGGTGGCTGTGAGGCACAGCAGTTGGAGGGTCTCTGCTTGCAGCATAGTGAATGTAGACTGGGATGGAAAGTGGCTCTAAACACCAATCAGTGATGGAGACATCTTAAAAAGCCTTTAGGTGCACAAAGACAAAATAAATAAACACATTAGAACTTCAACATTGAACATACTGCAAAAGACACTACACTGACATGACACCTGCGAACGGTAAGATGGGGTAAGATGCCCTCCTAATGTGCTTTTCTTTTAAATTGTAACATGTTTAGATACAAGTTCAGCATGTGCAGCATGATGATGCATCAGCCAATGTGGTATTAAAGGAAACTGATAGAAAAATTTGTTATTTTAGTTGTCATAGCACAAAATGTAACATTATTCATTTAATCATTTAGCAGACGCTTTTATTCAGAGCAACTTATAAATGAGGACAATAGAATCAAAAAATATTTTTTTTCTAATACATAAAAAGAAAACAAGTAGATAGAATAAAAAAAAGAATAGGGAATGCTAGTGTTAGACGGTTAGGTTTTTAATAAATAAAAAGAAAACAAGTAGATAGAATAGAAATAGAATATAGAGTGTTAGAGGGTCAAGTGTAGATGGAAGAGAATGTGTCTATAGCCGTTTCTTGAAGATGGGCAGGTCATTCCACCAGCAGGGAATGGTTAAACTAAAAGTCAACCCCACCCACTTCTTTACAGAATGTATAAACTATGTTTATTAATATGTAGGTATTAATGTTAATACATAATAATATTTTAATGTTATTCAAATGTATATTCGTTAATGATCCTGTTCATTTTATAATATTTGTATTAAATATGATATAATATTTTATATTATATAACATACTAAATCAACTGTGCTATTGAGTTTTGTCAATTTAGCCGAATAATTGAATAACCGATGACAAAGCAGAATCCCAGTAAAAGAGATTAATCTTAAGAAAGTACATTTATTCTATGACTTACGTAAAGGATTATAAATATATACATGTTTAATTGCCCATATTTTAATTGAAGATATGTCATAGTCTATTTGAGACACTATGCTTTCGAACTGAATGCACTCAATAAGCCTATAGGTTTTAAGGCATATCAAAGATATGACATATATATTTGACTCATGTAATTAATTAATAATAACCCAAGTAATCCACAAACAAAGCACTCAATAAGCCTATAGGTTTTAATGCATATCAAAGATATGCACATCTGAAATATATATTTGACTCGTGTAATTAATAAATAATAACCCACGAAATCCACAAACATATTAAATAATAATAATAATACTAGTCACAAAACTTGATCCACAAATCCCTCATTAACTAAAAGGGAAAAAACACCTGGTGTTTGCCCCGGGCGGCATCTCACCCTTTACTAACTGGAAAGGTTGGTCTTCATGTAAAGTGTATGCTAACGTGACACATCTGCGTCAAAATAAAAATATTTTTTGTCAGTCTTAATTATGCAAACCTTGAACAAACCTGCTAACGTTAATCCAGGCCGAAACATTCACAGACTACTGTAATAAGCGTTAGTTCGCATACTTTTGACCAAAGGTTTTCCCCTCACAGAATTAAGCCGCTAATGACTCGAGTAGACAACTGCTAATAAGAAAAACAATTAAATAATTTTCTTGCCTGACTTTGAGAGTTGTAAACTTCACGTATCCACAGCAACATCTCTGACAACAGCGGTTCCGCTCTTCTTCGCAGCCAATGAAAGTAAAAGAGAACTGATGGCTCCATACCGCCACCTTCCGGAGACTATATGCGAATGCAAGTACGGTGTATAAAACAGTTTTCGGTTTAGAATTATTCAGCACTGAACTGCAAATATACGTATGTCTTACGCATATTTAACATTTTATTTTATTTGATCAATCCTGAACAGTCTCACTTTAAATACAGAACTTTTAATATAAAATACTCAACGCCCTCTTATTTTCAACAATACTTGTATGAAGTCAAATCTGAAGGATTATTATTATTATTGTTATTATTATTATTTTAACAGGAATTAGCAACCAAAGATAAAATGTAAGATATGCCACATTTATTCACTGGCATGTTTAAAAATTTGAAAAAATTTAATCAAATACACTGGTCTTTCTAAACATTTACAACTTGACAGTTAAATGTTACTTGCTACAGTGTTCTTAGCATTGAGCAGAATTGTTACATTTTACGTTACATTTAAAACACACAAAGCATCGTTTTAATCATGGCACAACAAAAAAAAAACAGATCAAATCAAAACAGTCCTTTTCAAAAGGAACCGTATTTTTAATTACACTTCTTATTTTAACAAATGAAATGCTTAGTTCAAACCAAAATTAATGAAATTCACACTTTGAAATGCAATCAACTCTGTATTGACTCCCATTGTGTGACTCTTACAACTGGCAAGTCAAATGTAAACCACTGAATATTTTTGAGTGATGCTGCTGTCTTTGGCATTGCTTAGGCTATCCATCTAAACAAGCCAAAGAAAGTAATCAATCATTTAAACAGTGAAGAAATCATGACAGAATGTAATCAATCACAGTCATGGATGGGACTCCATTTTTCCTCAACCGCACTTTAGTCATCAAATTTCTGGTGAGAACATGGTTTGTCGTTTTTAGTGCTTTTATAAACAGCTCAGATGGTTTGTTTCATTTAACCTACTAGACTCTTATGTCCCTTACTGTTGGTGTATTATTTTGGATAAATATTTCGATTATGTCACTCTACCAGTCTCTTTATTGGTAACAAGTATAAGAAATATATACTCCTGCATGTAGTTGTAATAGGTAACTGACACACCTCAGATAACTGTTGATTAAATGACAAACATTTTAGATTGTTGTTAAGATCATCAACTAGCTGATAATTCTCCAAAAAAAGGTCACACACACACACACACAACGCATGTCATTTATAAACATTTTATTTTAGTCCAGCTCTTTTCCTCTTCCCGCCATCATAGCATACAGTATATAACGTCATCATTTCTGAAAAAGCTGAATTGCTAAGCCTCATTCTATTATGGTAAACAGTACCACAATGACAAGAATATGTGCCAGAGAACTAAATTATTCCGGTTAAGTTCCATATTCAAGCAAGAAGGAGGCAGCTATGAAATTACAAAGAAAACAAGTAAAAGAAAAGTAATACAATGTGTGATAAGAGACACATTGTTTACATTTGTGATTTAGATTTGCTGACTGGCTTTTCATTCGTAATACTTTATCCTGTGCAAACTACAAAATGGCTGTTTTGGGGGTCCAAAAAGCAAACAAAAAGACATTAAATAATTTCTGCACAGTTATTTTAGGAATGAACGAGAAATCAGGAATTACAAATCACATCACTGCTTGTGACATATCAAGATTTTTACATTACATCAAGGTAGATTGACAGATAATAACATTACAATTGATCAGAATGCAATTTTATGGCTTTTTGATTTTTCTTCATTAACAAGGCACCAGAGAGGAATGATAGGATTGTTGCACCTCACAGAAGATAAATCGATAAAATCAGCAAAAAGTCTTGAAGAGAGACTCCTTGGCAATGTCACAGAATGTGGAACTGGCAAGGAGTGGATCCTTGAGACATCATTGGTCCTCTTTACATGCCCATTCGAATGCTCTGAATGATCTGGAATATTGCTGAGGAGAAAAAAAACAAAAAACAGAGTGACATTACAGATGGCTGACATTCCAGCCTTTGGAAAAGTTGAGGAGGAAGAGTACTGAAAAACTAAACTTGTTGAAGTCAATCTTAACATAAATGCCAGCTTCGGGTATATAATGGGCCATTGCGCTAGTGGATAGTTATGTTTCTTCACTCTTTTGTCTCATAAAAGTAAACTATCTTTGTTATCTCTAACAAAGTAAATCTTATTCTTTTGTGGATCGAATCAAATAAAAAGATTGCAAAATCATCCAAGGAGCAAAAGTAAGGGCAAGCAAACAGAGAGCAAGATGACCAAAAACATGCAACGAAAATGTCATTTGTTCAAAGCAAACAGATTCTCGAGGACAACGGGTAAAAACTCTGCGAGAGCTGGCAGCAACCCAGAAGCCCGGGCCAAAGAATGTGCCACATCAGATCTGGATGGTGCCGTTTATGACGTTGTCAAAAAGGCTACATCTTTTAAGCTATGTCTCAAAGCCTCCAATCCAGCTGGCAATGAGATCCATTACTCTTCCTGGGAGTACTTAAAGGGTTAGTTCACCCAAAAATGAAAATTAGCCCATAAATTACTCACCCTCAAGGCATCCTAAGTGTATATGACTTTCTTCATTCAGACGAATCCAGTCGGAGTTGTCTTTGATCTTTCAAGCTGTTTCATGCCACTCAGCGTGTGTTGCATGCATCAGTCCAAAAGAAGTTAAATAAAAAGCGCCCATCCATCCGAAGCAGCTCCGGGCGGCTGACGTATGAGGTCGGCATTGCGCATGTGCCGCTCGGAAGTGACGCACGCGGAAGCACAGGGGAGAGATCAAAACAAAACAACGGTCACTAATTAGAAGTACAAAACGAGGATTTGTAAAGAAGAATGTCTGAGGATTTCGATATAAGCCAAGAGGAGACTGGTTTTCCTTTGCTACTCCGACTGGATTCGTCTGAAAGAAGAAAGTCATATACGCCTAGGATGACTTGAGGGTGAGTACTTTATGGGCTAATTTTCATTTTTGGGTGAACTAACCCTTTAAGCGGTTGTTGGAAATGTTCTTCAATGCGGTTTCCAGAATAGCAACACCTGCAGATCCACATGTTGTACCCAGTGAAAATAAGCAGATAAAGTCATGGTATCAGTCCAGCCTTGTCCGTGTAAATAGTGTGCATTATTATCTCAGCCTTCACTACAGTGCAAGGTTTCACAGTGTGTGCCAAAAAAAAATGAGTGGAGGTCAGCTTTGCCTGCCTACCTTGGTCTAAACAATAAGCACAACATATGCTAGTATAAAAATAAAATACCATCTAATTTAATGTGTTTATCATTTGATGTGAGATATGACAGATCACTTGTTAATTTTGTGTATTGGTTACTCACCTGAACCACAGACAACAAAGATGAAGAGCGCCAAGAGCCATGGTCCCACCGAAACTTTATCATCACTGACGTTTTTCTGCGTGAATTTACATTAAAATCAGTTGCAAATGCCCATTTTAGTTGTCATTTAATTGTAGTAGTGCAGTGGGATTTAGCAATAAAAGTGTATATACATTGCAGTATTAAGAACCACTATTTTACTGCAAAACTAGTAATTCCTTATATTAACAGTTTAATCAAACGTCTTACTTTAAAACCAGTTAAGTTAATACATTACATGAAGTTAATTTCACTTTTGTTGGTACACTATCGAACATCATGAAGTCATGATCTTACCGATGATTTGACGTTGCCTCTCTGGGTGATGTTTTTGCTGTGTTTCTCGTTGGCCATACGAATCCTCTGTTTGGCGACCATCGTTGCAAATGCTGGTGGGTTGTAAAAGTGAGCTGGTCACAAATATGACGAACACAAACTAGTGAGGACGAAGCCAAAACTACGTCGATTTTTGTCTACGTACCACTGATCAGTGCTACGTACTCAGAATGTAAGCTCCGCCCACAGCGGAAGAACGCAAATGGACTGACGCTCGGACCGCCCAGCTTTTTGAAAAAACGTTAACACCACTGATCTATAATAGAGAACGCTATATATAGATCAGTGGTTAACACGATATTTGCTAAATTTAGTTTTTTAAATTTTGTGTCAGCCTTGCGTAGTGTGTCATAAAGCTTGTTAAAACGTTCTTATTGATAAGACCTTCAATTTGGATATCAATCTTGGATTCTTGCACAGTGTCTGTGGTGTTCTTATTTTTTCATTGCTTTTTCATTGCATTAAGTTACATGTCAATTATATTAGGTTTAAAACAGCCAGTAGTGTAACATTATTTCTGGAAATAGCAACTACTGATTTATGGAAGAAATTGTTCTTTTTGAGTGAGAATAAATCGTTTGAACGGGTCTGTAACAGTCTGGGTTTTGAATTACTATCCATTTATTAGCTGAACTGGGACATATGAATGTATGATGATTACGTACGGAACAGCTGAATAGTTTTAGATTTTTTTTATTTTTTTTTTCTATTCATGCCAAACGACTTGCATAACATTATAACAGAACAATAGAAACAAACACATATCATGTAATAATAATAACAACAATACATTTATACACTAAACGGTTTATCACTGAAAGTAATTTTTGACTTTTCAAAGATTTTTTGTTTGAGTTTTTTTTTATGCTCATCAAAGACAAAACATAGGAATTGTCTACTAAAATGGACTGTTCTTACCCAAAAATGTGCATTTGTGTATAAAAAAAGATAAGTATAATAAAAAAAATCAATGTTATTTGCGTATAAAAAAATACAATAAAAAATAACAATGTACTGAATACGAGAATTTGACTTGTAATAAAGAAAAATAATATTAAGTATTTATTTAGATTATGGCTTTTTTTCTGAGATAAGTAGGCCTACAGAAATCGTTCAAAAAAAGCTTTAACACGAACATAATCATTACATTTTATTTTGACTCATTTTATCTTGTTTGTTAATAGATGTTTGTAGGGACGAGACCAGATTCATTCCACGTGTTCCATTCCAGATTCATTCCACGACCAAATTCCATTTAACGTGTATTTAAAAAGATGATGCGGGACAAGCTTCTTCTTCTTCTTTTTTTTTTTTTTTTTTTTTTTTGTTAATTGTATA